GTGCCGTTGGCCAAAGGCCGCTACTCTTCTTATGCCGCCACGGCCTGGTGGTCGCGGCTGCCCCTTGCCGGTGCGGCCTCACAGACGCGTCCAGTTTTGACTGTGATGGCGGGAAAAAGTTGCCACCGGCCAAAAGCTCCTTTAACCCTTTTTTCATATTTTTTTAACTGAAAATAAAAGAAATATGAAGACATTAATCAAGAAAAGAAAATTCATCCAAAAATTTGTTCTCAATGATTCAACATGAATAGGCTCTGATATCACTTGTTAGATAATATCCTTAGATATAAAACATCTCTCAAAATCTAGAAACGTTCATGTTAAATCACTAAGAATCAACATATTAATATACAGAAGCGTACCTGAATCTATGACAGTAAATTACTCTCTAGAACCGTGCAGCTTGTCTTCTAGATCAACACGTTCTCTTAGAGAATCCTTTAATTTTCTCTTTGTTATCTCTCTGATGATGGGATGTCAGAAAAGAATAGAATGACAATACGTGTGATATGTGGACCATAACCACTATATATAGATAACTTCTCTGTTATCTGTTAGTATTTTTAGATTAGCCCATCATAAAAATAGAAATTACCCTTAAGTACTTACACATTAGAGGCCCACACTCTATTAGATACATTAAAGCTCAAATTACCCAAACTTTAGTAGATCACTTTAAATAAGCTTAACCTTATATAACAGTCTACAATACACAATTATTCACATATAAACCTAACGTTGGATTAAAGATCCAATAACTAGTACTTGTAAATTTGCCGATAGAAATTCTTGTCAAATATATTATGGAGATTAAAAATGCTTATAATCAGAGAATATATATATCATGTGCGAGTTCATGAATATTACTATGCGCTTATAAAAATGTCAGTTTTTTTTTCCTATATATATATATATATATATACACACACGTATACCTAGTACTTTTGGTATTTGAGATGCTGAATTAAACGCAGAACAACACTAGCTACTTACATCTGTGAAGAAACTCCGCTAGAAACCCTAATGTGGAAGGAAGTATATTTCTCATATATCTCAAAAGAATTGAAGTTAAAAAAATTTTTGTTTTTTGTTAAAAAAAAAAAAAAGAAAGAGAGTGGGAGAACTCTAGAAAGTAGAAAGTATAAACCTATATGCAAAATCAAAAGAAGTGGAATCTTTTATTCTCCTAAATATAAAGTTGCATCGTGATATATTGCCAACTTCACCATGTTATCATCGTTACATTAGCAAATCTTTTGGGGAAATTTTCTTATTCAACGTGGGTATCCTTATGTCAAAAGAACAATGGTAGCTCTGTATGCAAAATCTTAAGTTCTTTATCACACGTTTTTTTTCTTCTTTAAGAAAAAACAAACACATAAAAGGAATAACAAATGCCACAGGGAATATTTCAGATGATGTGAATAATAAGTTGCATTGTCACAAAATGGTACGTAATTATGTAACTAGTCTTGTAACTTAAGCATAGTATTATAAACATTAAATGACGGATTTTGTTGAAAATCTGACTAATCCATAAACATTTAACATTGGTGTGAACAGATTTTGAATGGAAACACATCCTATCTATTATGTTATAACACCGGTCAATAAAAAATTAAATAAGAATTCACTTACCACGGGATAAAGAAGTACATAGCATTTTTATAGTAAATAATTAAAGTGAATAACAAGCTTTACATGAACACATTACTCAATGAATTAGCACATATAAGAGCGCTTCCAATACAACATGCCAAGGTCAAATTTAGGCATACGATTGATAAAGTCCTTTTAATGAATGTTATTTTCAGGTTAAATTTAGAAAATGCTTTACTTGATAATAAATTTGACACCAAGTATGACAAATGTGAGATTCGGCATTGATTGATACATTAGGTTTTTTAAAAAAAAATAATAATTACAACCTTGTTTGTTCTAAATTATTTTATTGTTAAAAAAAAAATTTACAAGTTTTTTTTTTTTTTTTTTTTTTTGAAATGAAATGACGAGAGGCTGAAAGTAGTGGCAAGAATTTACAAGTTCCAAAAGTTTAATTATTATGAACCAAAAGTAGTTAGGTATAGTATTTAAAATAGAATAACATATTGAATATGTCAAGTAATTTACATTTTTTAGTGAGAAATATAATATTAACATTCACATTATACATGGTCTAGTTAATTAATATGTGTATGTGTATGTAAGCACGTCAAGGTATATATATATACACGCAATCGAGTCCTGAAGTGTTCTTTTGCAGGCGGTGTCGCGGATAATTATGTAAGTGTGTGTGTGTCTACATATATATATATATATATATATATATGAATGTAGGTACATGTGTGTGTAGTGAATTGTCCTTTACAGGAGAGATCAAATTATTAAAGTATCGACTAGATATGGGTGAAATAGATGGTAATTATAAGGCTGTGATGCCCATGGTTGTGTTGCAATGCATCACGGCAGGAGTCACGCTTGTCAGCAAAGTTGCTTTGTCACACGGAATGAGCCCTTTGATATTTGTTGTCTACCGCCAAGCTTTTGCCACTATTGTCATGGCTCCTTTGGCGTTTTTCTCTAGATGGTATATGATTATATACATATTCTCTTTCATATCTTTTCCCATTACGGTTTGTCTATTCCATTTTTGTGTTATGATTTAATTTTTCTTGGAATCTTGCTAAAGTTGATGGATGTTACGGTAGAAATCCAAACAAAACGTCGTTGGGTTTTTTATTTCAAGTAACAACATATTGATTTAGACATAAATAATTTTCAACATTTTCTGTTACATGATTTTCACGTGTATGCAGAGTAACGGCCAATAATAATATCTATTTTGAAGGCTTGAAGTTGTCCTCTTCAGCTATAGCAACTGCAATGCTTAATCTGATACCGGCAATCACCATTTTAATGGCAACTGTTGTTGGGTAAATACAGTAAAAGTGCTTTTAAACGACGTAATTTATTGGTTAATTTTATAAATGGACAAAGTACATTTTCTTATATATACATGATTTTTCTTTTCTTCTTTTTTTTTTTTTTTGTCTGATTAGATTGGAGAAAATAAATCTACGAAGCTTTAGAAGCGTTGATCAATCACAAAATTGGCAACATCCTCGAAATCAATCCTAACGAGCCTCGATGGAGTTGAGAATATGCCACCTTGGCTGCTTATTTCTCTTCATAAGTTGCTGTTGCAATTCATTTTGGATTGTTATGCAGGTATGTATTTTTTTATACATTACAACAAAAATGGTAATAGAAGACAGGCTGACATTTTTAATATCTGTTTTTAAAATAAAATAAAATAAAAAACTAATTATGTTTAAAAAAAAATACATGTTTTTCAAATGAAAGTGATAGGTATATATAGTAGATCCTATGAGTGAATATATACTCTTTTTTCTTTCTAGATGTTTCATTGGATGGTTTTGACCAAGTTTGGCCTTGCTTCTAGATAGTTATAAGAGGCCTTCCAAGGTTCTCTAGATGCTAAAAATCCAGATCAAAGGTTCTCTAGATGCTTCTTTCTTTAAGTATTGCACCAGATAAAAACTATAATCATCTAATTATTAGCATATTCTTAGAATAGTAATATTTATAAAATTTTCGAGGTGTTAAATTAACTAGATTTGCGAACTTGAAAATATTTTTTACAGTCAATTGGAAGCAATGTCCTTCTTCATTCAAGTGTGGTGCATATCCCAAACTGGTCCTGTCTTGTTCACTCCACTTAGCACAGTAATTGCAACCATTATAGCCATTTTGTTCTTGAATCAAAACTTATACATTGGAAGGTATTATAAGTTATATTTTTATTTTGACTAATGAAAAAAAATTTAATATATATATGTATATATAGTTTCTCTTGCTCCATTTTTTCGTGGTTTTTATAGTGTGTATCATTATTCTAATTGAATTGCATGTTGTTTACTCAGCTTAGTTGCTGCATTCGCTGTAACTCTTGACTTGTATGTGGTACAAGGTTTAGATATCGAATTAAATGAATCATCTTAGAAAATGCAAGTTGCACATTGATGGAAAAACCATTTAGGTTGAATATGTGTGACTTGGAGGATGGAGAAAGGGGATTGATATAAGCTAGCACCCTTCAAAAGGAAAAAATAAAAAATTAGAAGCTCTCTAGATAGAGAGTAATTATTAAGCATGTGTCTACAATTTCATTTACAACCGAAACGATGCAACCAATATACCATATTTTGTTTTGTAGGTTAAAGTTAAAATGGAATAAAAAGAGTGAGAATTTGACTTCTGAACATATTTTAGTATTTTGGCCATATCTCTCTCATCTGAAGTTTAAATGAGGTGATCTTAATGGCGTTGGAAAGATAAGAGATAGAGCTACAACTTTCGTGAAGACACCAAACACTAATTCGGCCATAGAAGGCAAAAATCTCCCTCAAAGTCAGACACCCGTTGCACTGAGAAATCCATCCGCTGCAGCGGATTTCCTACCAGAGACCAGTCCAAAATGCGCGTTGTAGCGCCCATTTGTATTCCCACTCATCCGCTGCAATAGAAAATGGTCCGCCGCAACGGTCGTGCCAGTTCCGCTAGGATTTTTTGAGAAAAACCTAGCGGCGTTGCAGTGGGAAAGTGATCCGCTGCAACGCATGTGCACGAGATGCTGTCATTTTAGAGTTGATATAAAAGGCAAATGGGCTGAAAATAAAGGTGGAGAGGAAGAGAGGAAAAAGAGGCACAAAATCTCTAGAGAAGAAGGAACTTTGGAGGCTCAAATTTCATGATTTCGTTGAAGATCCTTGAAGAAGATGGTGGATTCAAGCTTAGAAGATCATTCTTCCAGCATAGTTATTCCTGCTCCCTTTATTTTCTTTTTAGTTTTTAGATTTTATTTTTGGTTATGGATACCTCTATGTTGAGCTAAATTATTATTCTAGGACTTGATGTAACCTTTTTTGAACTATGTTTTGAATATTTTGCCAAATGTTAGTTTGATTTCCATTTAATTCATTTGTGTTTCTCTATGTTAATTGCTCTAATTTGTGTTTTTATGGATTACAGATATAGATGTGTAGATTTAAGTTCGGAAGTGTTACTTTCACATGTTGGAATTGGAAAAACACAACCCAAAGTTAGTTGAGTTTAGGAGGCCAATTAATTTGGGTAATCAAAATTAGGTAGCTTAATGGATGCTTGATTCAGTTAGGCTAATAGGGATATTGTTTAAGTGGGTTTTGCATACTATCTTGCTCAGCACCTGGGAGAGGAAGTGAAATTACCTTCGAAAATCTAAGATTAATGAATTGATTGAAATTGGCTAGTAATAGCTAAATATGATGAATATAAGAATGATAATGTGAAGTCAAGTCCCTAGTACATTTGTGCATAGGAGTTTCATACTTTATTTTATTTTCGTATTTATATTTGTTCTTGTTCTATTCTAATTTCAATTAGTTCGGACTCTTAAATAAAGTTGAGTTACGATAATCACGGTACTTAGTGGCAATTTATCACCCAATCTATGTAAAAAATAATATTCACTTACCATTTATTATCAAAATTTGACACCGTTCGCTCGCGGGCTTACACATTCATTGAAACTTCTCAAGATAGGTGTGGGTCTTTTTTATGAACGAAAAATCTGATACATTTTTAAATTTTAAAGAATTTAAGGAAATAGTCGAAGGAGAAGTCGGCAGAAATATTCAGTGTTTGCGCACTGATAGTGGGGGAGAATACATTTCAGATGAGTGCTCCTATTATTTTCAAAGTTGCAAGATACGTTATCAGTTCATGTGTGCAAACACGTCAGAATCGATACTTTGCAGAGACGTGTTGAAGTATGCTTCACGCTAAAATTGTACCTGGTAAATTTGGGCTGAGTGTATGAGGACAGCAACTCATGTCATCAACAAGCTTCCCCAACCAAGGCTTGGATTTACTTCATCCTTTGAAAAACTTGTTAGGAATGGTGTTGGAAACCAACAAAACTGTGGAGCACGAAGCCCGCAGTTGGTCACTTTTAAGACCTATTTAGTTTGCTAATTCGAGTTTTTAATTCAAGTTGAGATGTAATTTTATGTGAGAGTTTTTTACTGTAGTAAAAAAGTTAGATGTGACTGTTTCTAAAAGGTTTTTACTGTAGCAAAATTCAAATTTTAAATTCAAATCGGTAAAATGAACGGAGTTTAAATATTGAGTTGTGTGTGCTACGTATTAGTATGGAGTCACTTACGTAGCAAATTTGATAAAAAGGCAATTCGGTGTATCTTTGTGGGATACGACAACCAAAGAAAAGGGTGGAAGAGGCCGTGATCTAGCTATTGGTGGATGTTACACATCACGAAATGTGGTGTTTGAAGAAACATCATCATGGTGGTCTCCACAAAAAGAGAAATTACCAGATTCTAAATAAATTGAAGATCAGTTGCAAGAGAAGATGGGGGAACAAATTGTTGAGGTACTGCCAAGTCCTGAAGTAATTGAGTGTTAGAGAATTTGAGTGTAGAGGGTGAAAAGAATGTAAAAATAAGATAGGGTTTGATGCGTATAGTAATACTTTCTTTTAAATTTTTATTTGCCCTCACTTCTCAAAGTTTGCTAATGAGTTTTAATGACAAATTACCCTCAAGATACAACAAACCTTTGAACACAATATCTAACAATAATAATGAGTTTCATAACATTAAATTAAGTCTGTAAATTTTCTGGAGAATTATTAAAGATAGGGGTGTCATTTCATGAACGAATACATCCTCTTTAAACATTATAATCTTTCACATAAAGATACTTTTTCAATGTAAAGGTATCTTTTCATGGATTGATACACTTATTACAATAGTTATATATATTGCTAATAAGTGTTCAAATATGTGTGAAAATATATCACTAATGGATGTAATGGTTTAAGACCTTTCAGATCATATAAACACACGAAAACATAGTTTTCTGCTGCAATACCCGCTGCAATTGTTTTCCCCACTGCAGCGCTCAGGCAGCACAAAACAGACCCGAGAGGTCTGCACTGCAAGCGCTACAGCGCCCAAAACAGGCGTTGCAGCGCGCCTATTTTTTGGACAGGCACTGCAGCGCCCAAAACAGGCGCTGCAGCGCACCTGTTTTTCCTGGATAGGCACTGCAAAGCCTAAAATTGGCGCCGCAGCACCTATGGCTGCCTTGACAGCACCCAAATGGTGCTGTCAAACTCACTGCAGTGCATTCTTGTGTTTTAAACCAAAGATTATATGATCTTGTAATTGGAAGATATATTACAATCTCTCTAATATTGAGTAAGCAGAAGAAGAGAATGATGGCAATCGCACAACAACGGCGGGTCCTTGGCAGACTGGTGTATACCAAATTCCGAGAAAAAAGATCGAACAAGTCAAATAGTTATAACTAGTCCACAGACACAACTTAGAAGGTTAACTAGAGTCGAAGGCTGAATACCAAATATGCCAATGCTGCCATGGAAAAGGAAGAAAGCCTAAAAGAGCCAAAGACGTGTGATAAAGCAGGTCAGAACTCTGAATGGATAAACTTTGGACCGGGTGCCAAAGTCAAGAAATTTGAACTACTCATGATTCAAACTTATCTCACCCATTGAAAGCTATCTATAGCTAGCTAGCTCTTAATTAGCTAGCTCACCCATTACTTTTTTCTTTGCATTTTTAAGGTTAATTAATTTTCTAGCTCTATACATAGTTTATAGGATTTTGAAACACAAACCCTTACCTAGCGCTTCAATCCTACTATTAGAAAATATACTGTGGGTTCTTCTACTAGACATCTTATTTTGTATGGTCTTAAAGTGTACACATGCTTAAACTGAGAAATATAATCATGTTTTCTTCAAGGCCGCCAAATTCTAAAATTCTTTTTGTTGAAGGTGAAACTCCGCTAACAACAAAAAACAATATCCTAGGTGCCTGATGACGGATCAAAACAAAAAGAAAAATACGAAAGTTACAAATTACCAAAAAGAAAATAAAGAACACCGGGAATGATATTAATGCTGAATTCTTGTACACACTTAATAGTTAATTCCTCACTCAATCTCTCTTCTCTCTTTGAGTATAATTTGGTAGGGTAACACTAAAGATAAGAAATTTCGGACCCTCTTTTTCACCCCTTCCTCTAGTATTTATAAAGTCTTTTTTCCCGAGGAACTGTCCAATCGTGGGTGTAACCGCCTCACCCACATCCACCACTTTAGTGTTGTGCGATCCTTTTCGGACGTGACTTCCTCTTTCCCGTTCACGTACGATGTGATAGTTACTCGAACGTCTCTGATAACCTAGGCGATGTCGGGCAGTTGGTGTGGTGGGCCTTTTTTCTCATTTTCCCACGTGGGAAAATGTGATGAAACTTAGGGCTAGCTAAACTTACTCAGCTCAAAATACCAAGCTGACGTCACCCACTTTCACTTACCTAGCTAACGAATTGGGTAAAAATGTTGTCGACGAGGAGTACCAAGCTAGAATACTAAAGAATTGGGTGTAACACTTTTATTTTGTAAATTCTGTTAGTTTTTATTTCTTTTCCGGGCTTTTATGATTTGGGTTTGTCAGAACTTCCGTTCTTTTCTTTGTTATTTTATTGACTTTTTTTTTTTTTGGTTTGCTTGAGGGAAAAGGAATCTTAACTAGTAATATTGTACTATACATGTGGCTCATATTGCATATAAAGTATAAATCAACAAACGATCTTGAAGAATTCTGTGACAATAATAGATGTTCGCCAATAGGAGGAGACATATAAAGATCGATTTCTATTATTTGTTTTCTAGGAATGATTTGCGTGATCTCTCAGTTTAACAAATAAAATTAAAGGTATACGTAAGATTGTCAAAGAACTCGTGATTTGCGTGATCTGAATTGGATAATTTTAATGAAAGATGTGTAGCCAATTTAATGACAAAGAACATGGTCAATTGCCGATTTCAGAGATCTGTCCAGATCACTTACATCACACATGATCCACGCACGTTAGAATACTAACTTTGAAATTATTTCATTATTTATTGTTTGTTTGTTCAATTGACTATGATTCTAGCTGCTTTTTAGATCTTCGTATGTGTGTATATATATGAATTAAACAATATGTAAATCGAAATCTCGTTAACAATATGATAATTCTAAAAATATTAGTTGAAAAGTCGTCCATATTAATTATAGGTAAGTAATTCTTTTAAAAAATACTAAAAAGTATTGTCTGCTTGATCATAAACAAAATACTATTATAATATTTTGCAGTCCTGGACTGTTTTGGTTTTAAGTAAATTGAAAAGAAAAGACAACTAGTATCGAAAAATGTTGACACATTTCAATCAAATGGACACCCATTAAAGCTCCAATTCCATATGAGCCTTTACTCCAATAATTTTTTTCCAAGTAAATGACAAGAGAGTAATAATTATTGATGTCAAATTAAAACATGCTAGCATGTCTAAGATTGTCACTATAGTTCATTATCCCTAACCTTCCATTCAAATTTATCAACATAAAAAGAGAAGAAACTACTAGAAATGAAAATGATATCCATCTAAGGCACTACATCCAACTCAAAAGAGGACAAACTACTTGTAGCTTCAATTATGCCAATGGCCGTTTTATAAACTTAGAGATTTGAAAGGACTAAATAATCCTTTGGTCAATCAATTATAGACCGTTGTCTAAGTGATAAATCATGGTCAGACTACAGTCAGTCACAAATAAACTTTGAATAATTAATTATAGAGCGATAGATTTTAGTTAATCAGTGATAGATTGCATTCAATAGACTGTGATAGACCGTACAAAAGAAATAAAAAGAATTAAAGAAAAATAAAAGAAATGTAGATATAATACGGGGACCGCCGATCTGTTACAATAAAGATCCCAAGACATTCCACTAACCTCTTCCCTTCGCTCGACGCCCGCATCCTCCCTTCGCAAAATAGAAGTGGGAGATAATTATTAAGATTTATTATGGAGATAAAGTTTAGACTTCTTCTGGAAGTCTAACCACTACTCTATAAATAAGAGATTGCAGAAAATTGAAACACACAAATTTTTTCTCTCCCTAGCTAATAGTGGCCAGTTTTCTATAGAGTAAGGAAAAGGAAAATTTTCTCCCCAATTCCGCGTCATGTATGTGTTGTTGTTCGTGAAGTGTTTGAGTATTAATCCCATTTTATTTCAGGTATGCCCATACACACGTCTTCATAGATTCAAGAAATAGACGAGAAGGATCGGGTATTCTAAACAAGCTTAGAGTGAATAACGTTCGTGGTCAAAGAACCCAAGTTATTGACCTAATTGTTTGATAGAAAAATTTATTCATAAGGTAATTTGATTAATTTATTCATGCATAAATTAATATATTCTATAAAGTATCTCAAAAGTTTGTTAAAATTGTTGTTATACACGATCCGCTAGATACACGTTTCTACATAGAAAAATGTTTTCAAAACCAACACTATTTACTTACAATGGATGCAGGGATATGGTGGGAAAGTATGGAGCTTAAGAATAATGTGAACGAGATGACCTGGGCTCAGTTCACAAAGGAGTTAAAATGAGCAGTATTTCAACATGAACATCATGAGGGAGCACTTCGATGAATTTAATGATCTTCATCAAGGAAATATGACAGTTACTAAAGGAGTCATTAAACCTCGTTCATTTCACCGATTTGAGTTTTCAGTTTTAGGTTTCTACAGTTAAAAGCTTTTAAAAAATATCACATCTAACTTTTTCTGCTACAGTTAAAAGCTCTAAAAATATGTCACATCTCAACTCAAATTGAAAACTCGAATCCGCGAAACGAACGAGTCTTTAATCGTTTGGCACGTTTATTTCCCAGCCTTATGCCAGATGAGCAGGAGAAAATTAGACGGGTGCTTAGGATGTTCCGTCCTGAGATAGCTGTGCGTGTTGACAATGGAGTTCATCCGGCGACAACTGCGGCAAAATGCTACAAAGGAGCACTTTAAGCCAAATACCATCTAAAAGGAAGTAAGGATGGACAAGGACAATTGACCCAAGATCAGAATGAGGATAAGAACCGTGATAAAAATGGAGGACAGAACAACCATAATTGGAAGAATAATGGGAGCAATAACAAGAGGAAGAACTAACAGGGCTAACTTAACCAGAACAACCGTCAAGGGGGATAATCCGCAAAACAAGCAGCCCAAAGTGTGGGAAAATGCATACGTGAAAATGCCATCTGGGCACCAATCAGTGTTACAACTGCGATCATGAGGGCCATATCTCAAATGGTATGAAAGTTGGATACCCCGCCTTATTTTAAGTTTCGACGATGAAATTTTTACAAGGTAGAGAGGATTTGTAACACCTCTTTAAGCAAACAGGCATAATTAGAAAAATTATCTAAAAAGATAGTTATAATGTATATGTCAAATTAGCTTATGATGTATTATACCACTAACTTATTTGATAATTGCAGGTGATCGCAAGATCCGGTGTGCTAAGGTAAAATAAAGATGTTATAATTTATTTTTGACATGAAGAGCTATGATTTTTAGTAGAAGTTTAATGTGCTGGCTTCATACTTCATGGTTTGATCATTTTTTTTTTTCAAATATGTCTAAATTTTTATTTAAAATATTATATAAGAAATAATAATAAGGTCATATATATACACATTAAGTTATATTATTTACGATTGTAGTATGTATTCTATACTTCGTATTATGTAAATTTTATATTATATTATACATATTACATATATGATCACATGGGGTTAGAAAAACAAGAAGTTGGGTGATATCATATATAATAATTTAAATTATAGGAAATCGTATACACTTGAATGAATTGCTAGTTTCGTGAAAGTCCTACATTAGTGATCCTCTTACCACGCCACTCTTGAAGGAAATCGCACCAAAGCCCAAAAAGAAAATAAATAAAAAAAGAAAAAAAATTTATTCCTATTAGGTTTCGTAAGATAAAGGAAGTCTATATATATGCATCTCATCCTTCCCAACCTAAACTGTACATCCACTTAATAAACTCTTTCTAATTTCTCTCTCTCCCCTTCAAAGAAAAAAAAGGGAAAAAAAAAACACATCAATTTCTCTCTGTTCCTTTCCTTAGTCTCAAGAGCAATTTAAGGTAAGATTTTTATTTTCTTGTCATCTAATACACGTGGTGGTTATGATAATGATTTCTTTTGATAGATGTTTTCTATGATAAGATTGCTCTTCATGCGTTCGATTCAACACTTATGTTTAGTGCCGGAATTTTAAACAAACCACATGTGACCGTTCAAAAAAACTGATTTTGAGCCCGACGCCCGAGCTCAAGAAGGTCTATAGACGGACCGCGGGCCTGTTTTTGGCTGCCCGAGCT